CCATGCACTGGCTTGGTTTGGGTTCTGTGAACAAGGGAAAAAAGACTGAAATGTGAAGATATATGTATCTATTTCCCAAAATGTGAAGGTTTATTTTTGTGGACAAAAATATGAAAAACAAGTTTGGGACTTGCGTTTTTCGTCAGAAGTGGTCAAATAAAAAATGCAAGTCCCACTTACGTTTGTGTTAAAAAAAAAAAAAATTTGGTTGCCGGCGAACTGCCGGCAACACCCTTCTCCAGCAAAGGAGAAGGCAACCAGTGGCGGTGGCCTTCTCCTTCGCTGGAGAAGGCCACCGGCACCACCACTGGTTGCCTTCTCCTTCGCTAGAGAAGCCAACAATTTGGGTCGCCGGTTTCTCCAGTGAAGGAGAAGGCAACCAGTGGCGGTGGCATTCTCCTTCGCTGGAGAAGGCTTCTCCAGCGAAGGAGAAGGCCACCGCCACTGGTTGCCTTCTCCTTCGCTGGAGAAGCCAGCGATTTGGGTCGCCAGTTTCTCCAGTGAAGAAGAAGGCAACCAGTGGCGGTGGCATTCTCCTTCGCTGGAGAAGCCAGTGATTTGGGTCGCCGGTTTCTCCAGTGAAGGAGAAGGCAACCAGTGGAAGGCCCTCCTTCGCTGGAGAAGGGTGTTGCAGGCAACCATTTTTTTTTTTTTTTTAATAACACAAACGCAAGTGGGACTTGCGTTTTTTATTTGACCACTTCTGACAAAAAACGCAAGTCCCAAACTCGTTTTTCATATTTTTGTCCACAAAAATAAACCTTCACATTTTGGGAAATAGGTACATATATCTTCACATTTCAGTCTTTTTTCCGTGAACAAGAAGTCAACAGTATGGGTTGGTGGGTTTGGGTCTGTGAAAGTTGATTTTAGTGGTGATATTTAGTGAGTGTCGTCCTCTAGGAATGGCTATAAGGGAATTGAGTAGAGAGAGGTTAAACACAAGATCATTGAGTGTTCAAAAGTTAACCAAAAGGAAATATTTGTTTGTATAGAGAACAAGTTTAAGATAAAGCAATGAGTCAAGTAACAGACAATATATTTTCAAAAAAAAAAAAGTAACAGACAATATTGAAAGAAAGGATTTGGATCAAATCACTTTGCATAAATGGATTAAACGCGAATAATGTTCTAAGTTTCTAAGCCAAGCAAAGATCAAGAATGAAAGTGAAGGTGTTTAGCAAGTGCCAATGCCATTCTCATGGTCATTGGGCTATCACCTAAGTTCTAATTCCATTCTCATGGCAAATAGACTAGATGAGGCAATTAATCGAATACCTTGTGTGCTAAATCCCTTCCAACTCCCCTTTCTCAAGAGTGAGTTAGAATTGTGATAGGTTTGGCTATGGTGAATCCCTATTCTCATAGGTGAAGCACCAAATCCAATGACCTCTTGCATAGTTGGGCCCTAACCAAGCAAGAGTCAAAATATTTTACCACATTCACAAACAAATTCAATCTAAAGATATTGTAAGCCCTAAGTTTTCCAATTTAATTCATGTTGACATTCATACAAAGCAATTAAATCTAAATCCATAAGTAGTTTAACTACTCATTATGAAATTGATAAACTTAAAGCAATTAAAGTAATGAATAATAAATTCAAACTACAAATTATATGAAATGTAAAAGTAAGAAATTGAGAACTTAACTTGATAGAACTTGTAAAATGTAAATTTGAAATTGAAAGTGAAAGTTGCAATTACATACGTTAATCTCCCTCTAAATCTTCTCCAAAAGTTGATGGAATACAATGGATTTTTTGTTCTAAAGGGTTTGGATGGAGAGAAAGTGTAGAGGGAGATTGGAAATTGAAAAAAAAATAGATGAAAATAATGCCTAAAGATACTTTATACTTTTGGAATCACGTCCTTTTAACTGCTTCCAGAATGCCTGGTCACGATGGAGGTCACGACGTGACCTTCATCGTGACAAGGCCTAAGCCTCGCAGGTCTCTGCCGGTCACGGTCAACATCACACCGTGACCAGCACCTCTACACAGTATCTCTGGTTTCTAGATCATTTTTTACATTGTAAATGTCCGAACTAGCCTTTGTGATTTCAAGAAAGTTGTATCTCTATGAGTTTCCTTTCTAATGCCACTTGAATCACGTTATTTGGACAGTCCTAGCTCAAGATATGCTTAAATTACCGAGACTTCACCTGACAGAAAAAAAAGTACAAAGCATAATGGTGTCACGCTGGCAATCACGGCGTGACCACCAGCGTGACCCATGTTTTTCACTTAAAAAACGCATATTTCTTCATCTCATTTGTTCCTTTGGGTCCTCGGGTCATGTCATGATACTTCAACTCGCTTTATTTCATTTTCTTGACCTCTAATGACTCCCGAAACTTGCCTTTCTGTCAAGATGACTTCAAAACACAACCAATTGAGCTCCAATTTACATGAAGTTACAACCAATGCCTCCAAATAACCTAAATGACACAAAGGAATCAAATAGGCACACACTTAGTTTCCAATTAACATGAAATCATATGAGTTTGATATCAATTATGCACATAAAAGTACTAATAATTAACACTTATCAGTCTGCCAGGAATTGAATGATGTGAGAAAGGGTACGAGGCACCAGCAATAATTATTTTAATTACCATGATCAACACATTTGTGTGAATCATAAATAAAAAATAGATTTTTAATATACTAACAAGGCGTATGATTGGAAGGAATTTAAATTCCCTTCCCACTTAATTCCCACATAATTCCAAAGGTCATAAAATTTCTTAGTTTTCCTGGGATTTTAGGAAGAAAAAATTAAAGCTAGTGATGAGACAAAATTACTCTTCTTTTTTTTAATCTAAAATTAATACCACAACAACAATGATGAGCATTTTGGACTTTATACTTCTTATTTCCTTTCAATTCCCATGTATACCAAACATTGAAATTGAAATTCCCAGTAATTCTATTCCTGTAAACCAAACACTGGAATTTAAATTCTCACTTTATTCCCAGTAATTCATCTCCCATGGAATTGCAATTCCTTTCCCACGTAATTTCCCCCTCCAACCAAACGCCTTGTAAAAGTACATTATATGTATACATAAAGTACATGCTTTTTTATTTTAATATATATATATATATATATATATATATATATATATATATATATATATATATATATATATATATATATATTAAAATAATGTACATTTAGTACACAAATAATGTACCTTTAATATATTAAAATTTTATATTTCAATCATGGTCCACATAGCTAGGTGGACCATGATCCATTCAAATTAGGGATGACAATTCTACCCGCATTCAATAGGTTCTCCGCATTCCCGCCCCTACGGGTTTTAAAATACCTGCACAATTTGGGTAATGGGTGCGGGTATGGGGGGAATTTTGTATACTTGCGCGGGTATGGGGGCGGGTGCGGGGGAGGTATCCTGCCCCGCACCCGCATTTATATATATTGTTATTAATTAGTATTCATTTATTATATAAGTTTATGTATATTTTATAATTAAAAATGCATAATGAATTAAACTTCTTAGTTTTTTTGTTTATGAAAGTTGAACAGGAACAACACAAATAACATAATGACTAAACAATTAATACAATTTATACTACCAACATAATTTTAGTTCCAATTAAAGATTAACTTCATTGTGGCTCTTACAATTAATACAATTTATTGTAATAGAGTTAGTAGTATTATATATATATATACATACATATATATATATATATATATATATATATATATATATATATATATATATATATATATATATATATATATATATATATATATATATATATAAAATTAAGTTCCCGTGCGTTTGTGGTGGTTGTGCGGTGATTAATTAGGTGCTTGAGTTTTGTACTTAAGGTGAGTGCGCCTTGTGCTTAAAGTGTGTGATTCTTGTGCTTAAGGTGCGTGGGTTGTGTACTTAATATGAGTAGTTGTTGAAACTTAATGTGCGTGAGTTTTGTGCTTAAGGTGCGTGAGTTTTGTGCTTAAAGTGTGTGCGTTTTTTAATTAAGATGTGTGAGTTTTGTGCTTAAGGTGCGTGTGTTTGTGCTTAATGTGAATAGTTGTTGAAATGAGAACAACCTTTTTTTTTGTAAAAGTGAGAACTGATTCCAGTTATTCATGAATGGTTGATGGTTTTATTAAAAATAGGAATAATGGTCAAATTATCCACTGAATGAAACAAGAAAATGCAATTGGGCCACTAAACTAAAAAAAAGTGCAATTACATCCCTCACAAGTAAAATCCTAGCAATCTTACCAAATAGCCGGTGCACTCCCTTTCTTGCCGGTTACCTAGATTACGTGTAAGCTTACCTAACAATTTTTTTTACTTTCCTTTTTTTTTTTCTTAGCAACGTGTCGTCAGAACAATCAACAAGTCGACTCAACAATTCCAAACACAAAACAAATAGGAATTATTAGCTGAGTCAACCATAGACTCGTTACCTTTCCGTCATTGTCGAGTTGTGCGATCTCTGCAAATCCTCTTCCTTCATAGTCCCGAAAGCCAAAATCAAACACAAATTAAAACAAAACATACATATATTGTAATGCTTATACAAAGAATTGATTATCTTCTTTCAACAAACAAGTAAATCAATGGAATATAGCCAATCATACCCACCCGGGGTCTCAAACAAAGAGATCCTTTATCCCCATATCTGTTTATTATTTGTGTTGAAGGTCTGTCCTTGTTACTGCAACAAGCGCAAACTAATGGTCTGATTCATGGTTGCAGAGTAGCACGGGGTGCCCCACCAATATCTCATTTATTTTTTGCTGATGATAGCTTTCTTTTCTTTAGGGCAAACCAACAGGAGGCAACTCAGGTTAAGAATTGTTTATCTGTATATGAGACTTTATCCGGACATGGTAAATTATCATAAGTCCAGTATATGCTATAGCAGGAATATGGGGATGGGATAGAGATGATGTGGCGTAGATTTTGGGAGTGGTCCAGGCACCTAATTTTGGGAAATATCTGGGCTTATGATAAAAAGGGTGGTCTTTGCGTATATTGAGGATAAAATCATGCAAAGGATTGGATCATGGAGCAAGAAGCTACTGTCACAGGCTGGAAAGGAGGTACTATTGAAAAGTGTGGCTCAGACAATGCCTACCTTTTCTATGGGTGTCTTTCTATTACCTAGTTCTACCTGTACTGCTATTGAGAGAACAATGAATCGCTACTGGTGGGGTTCAGGCACAGACATGGGAATACACTGGAAAGCATGTGATAAGTTATGCATCCCCAAAAAATATGGAGGTATGAGTTTTAAGGATCTGAGAGCATTTAATTTGACAATGTTGGGTAAACGGGCATTGAGGTTACTTACTGAACCTGACTCATTAGTGGCTCGTGTTTATAAAGCCAGGTATTATCCTAAGGAGTCTTTTTACGAGGCAGGCATGGGGAATAATCCTAGCTATTGTTGGCGCAGTATGGCAGAAAATGAGCTAGTTTGTGGTGGGGTAAGACGACGAATTGGAAATGGAAACACTACCTTGGTATGAGAGCACCCCTAGCTACAGGATGATTTAGACCCAATGATTCAAACTGAAATGCCACCACAGTTAGCTGGAACTAGAGTCGTAGGTCTCCTGGATCCAAGTACTAGTTCATGGGACCAACACCTGCTCACTGATATTTTTCAACCAGATGATATCCCAAAAATCCTCAAGATTCTAGTATCCCCAGATTATGATGATGTATGGTATTGGCACGGGGATCCTAATGGTTGTTACTCAGTCAAAGACGGCTATAGACGCATAGTTAGAGACTATCCTAACACTAATAATGGGGTTTTTGATGGATGGTTAGCCTTATGGAAAATCAAAGCACCCCCCAAATGGAAAACATTTCTATGGAGAGCTCTAAGTGATATCCTCCCCACTAAGAGCAATTTGATTATAAAGAGAGTAGAGGTGGACCCGATGTGTGCCATGTGTGGGATTGCTCATGAAAATGTTTTGCATTCATTAGTATCGTGTGATTATGCAAGATCCATTTGGAGCCAATCTAGCCTCCCACTCCCCAACATTGTGACACATATTTTCGATGAATGGTTTAGTGCACTCTTAAATGTTCTATACACTAATGGAATATTGTATGCAACTTCTATTTTATATCATATATGGAGAGTAAGAAACAGAGCTGTTTGGGATGCCTGTCTACCGTTGCCAAAGAAGGTGCTTGTGACAGCTTTGGCCACTATGCAAGCGTGGAACACGCTCCACCACCGAACGCCCACATCAGCCGCAAGGGGCCACCACACGGCCAATGGAGCCGGTACCGCCGCACAGCAGGTTGGCCTCCAGCCGGTGGTCTCCGTTGTGGCCGAAACCATGCATCAACCGCTGCTGCCACGATCCGGCCACCCCGCGGGAACACCAAGACCAATGAGATGCTTCATGGATGCAAGCTATCACCAGGATACCAGCTCAGCAACGGTGGGGGCGGTTCTACTAGATGCCGACAATCACTACATTTCGGCTTTCAGCGCCCCACTACTAAATTGTTTTTCCCCACTCATGGCTGAGGCATATGCATGTAAAGAGGTTTTATCATGGTTAAGAGGACGTGGCGAAGATTCAATACACCTACATACTGACTTCCAGACGCTACAACGCTACCTATGCGCACCGAGTACCCCGTCCAGGTCATATGTTGGATATGCTATCGATATTTGTAGGAATTTTATGTCTACTTTAAGTTTTTGCTCAGTCAATTTTATTCCTAGACTATAGAATTTATTAGCACATACTTTAGCTACTTTAGCTTTAAATTCGGCTACAGCTATGTACTGGGACGATGTCCCACCAGACTCTATTCCAGTTTATCTATAAATACAACCACATTGGTTGACCTTCAAAAAAAATCAATGGAATATAGCTAAGATCTTCGAACACCCACAATGCGAGTAATTTTACTCAAAATTTTGTAAATAAAAAATAGAAATTAATTTAGTAGGAAACAATGACAGTTGCAAAAAATCTAACAAAATTTTAGTAAAGAAAAGTATGTGCACTATGCACATATTGCTTTTGGGTTGGCATATTGTACTAGAATTCCAAGGTTTGCGACATAGAAGTAGAGAGATAGAGAGTAATGGTTTGCTTTTGACTCAGACATTTTGAATTTTCTGCACTCTGTTGACGATACCGACAATGAGCAAGAGAAGCAACAAAGAAGTTAGAATTGACTTAACCCAGTTCTTCGAGACTGCCATTGCAGCTACGTTTTCACGCTCGCCTTTCTCTCTCTCCAATGGATATGAAATTAGGGATAAAGAAACGGAAGAAAGAATCTCAAAAAAATGGAAGAAAGAAATACAAAAAGATACCAAGAGCAGATGGTACCAGAAGGAAAGTAAAAATAAAGCCATGTAAGCCTCCACGTAATCTAGGCAACCGGCAAAGAAGGGAGTGTACCGGCTATTTGGTGAGATTGCTAGTATTTTAGTAGTTGAGAGCAATTTATATCCTACACCACGGCGTACATTGCACTATGCGCCCAGATGCAAAACGACGTCGTTTTAATTATTTTTTTTTTTTGAAATTTCCCGCCCCAGTGAATGGCAGTAGGCTTTTCTTTAAAAAAAAACTCGCTGTTCAAGAATGTACATAATGTTATACTTGAATACACATAATGTTATACATGAATACACATAATGTTATAACAAAATATACATACTCTTTTTAAAAGATAATACACATAATCTAACATAATACATAATAAACATAAACTTTTAACATAATACACATCAACTCTTAACATAATACACACAAATTTTCTGATTCGGATGTACATAATTGTATAAAAACAATGTACATAATTGTATAAAAAATACACATAACTGTATGAACAATACACATAACGTTGTGAACGAATACACATAACGTTGTGAACGAATACACATAATCTCAGCAACTTCCTACCGACGTCGTTTTGGGAGGCGCGCGGCGCACAGTGCTATGTGCGCCGTGGTGTAGGATATAACGATTGGTAGTTGAGGGATGTAATTGCATTTTTTTAGTTCAATGGCCCAATTGCATTTTCCGATTTTGTTTAGTGGCTAATTTGACCCTTATTCCTTAAAAATACAGGGTTAATTTTATAATTATTGTAAACTTTTACGTTTATCATATTTATAAAACTGACTCACCCATTTTTTTCCATTTTTTTTTTATCAACAACCATCAACTGTTGATATATCCAAATGGATGAATCAAATTAACATTCACTTTTTACTTGAGAGCATGTTTGCCTGATAGTTTGGGTAAGCGGTTGACTGCTAGGCCCGACCAGGTCTCATCCCCGCACTGTTGTTCAATCTCCATTACGCCGATGATGCTGACTATTTCCCAGGCCAAAGGCTAAAAGCTAGGTTCAACCCCCCCCGGGGGGGGGGGGGGGGGGACCTTGGTTAGTTTCGCGATGGTTGCGTCTCCTCTGATGGTCATAGTGCCAACCAGACCTCCAGTGTTCCCTAGGTGGGGAACCAACATCACGAACTTTACTGACCCTCGCCTTGCTTGCTAAGGCGTTCCTTTAGGTTCCGAAATGCTTGTTTTGTGACTTGACCATTTTGGCGTATCTTGTGTTTGATTGCGTTAAGGAAACAAGAGTAACATAGGTAGAAACTAGGAACGTGGTCCCGAAATGCTCGTTTTGTGACTTGACTATTTTGGCGTATCTTGTGTTTAATTTGATTACGTTAAGGAAACAAGAGTAACATAGGTAGAACTAGGCTAATGATGATTCCTAGTTCTTTTCATAGTCTGATCGGATCCACCATAAACTGGGTATGAAAGTACATGCCCAAAAGAGTAAATAATATTGCTGCTACTTGTTAGTGTATGAGTTAAAGGTTAGGAATCCATACCACTTGACTAGAAATAATTATAAAAACTAATGGATGATTTCTTAAAAGGAAATCAGGGTACATATTTATAGTGTAGAGGCCTCTCTAGATGCTCGACAAATGTACTACTCTAGCTTGCATTCATTTTTAGCCATACTCGTGTATTTCCACTACTGGATGCCAGCAATCTTCACAGGGTAAATAGATAGAGCATCCTACCTTTTTGTACATGACATCTTTACTGGCTTGGGTGTTGTTATGTTAGAGGTCATAGGTTTGAATTTTGTTGACTACACTTCTTTAATATTAATGGACCTTCATGGGGCCAAGACTTTCCTAATAAAAAATGCGTGCTCCCAAGACACAATCGTTATACAATACACCATGTTGCACGTAGTATTGTGCGCCTATCTATGAAACAGTGCTGTTTTGAGATTTCGCCGATCAAAGTATCTATTAGGTCCCTGTACTACAGTGTTTTGTTCAATTTAGTCCTTCTACTTTAATTTTGTTCAATTTAGTCCCTATACTTTAAAAAGTGAAACAATTAAGGACAATAGTTATGTGGTGTCGACATTATTTCTGCCACATCATCATACTTACATGTCAGCTCATATATTATTTTATAAATATTTGAAATTAATTATTTTTTGCCACCAATATATTACATTAATATGTCTAAAATAAATACATATATATTTGCTCACATCAGCTATTGTCCTTAATTGTTTCAATTTTTAAAGTATAGAGACTAATATGAACAAAATTAAAGTAGAAGGACTAAATTGAACAAAACACTATAGTACAAGGACCTCAGAGGTACTTTGACCAATTTCGCCGTTAGTGTGATTTGATGGGACGGACGCCTCTCCGTCCGTCCAATCACCTTTTTTTAAATTATTTTTTTTTATTTAATATATATCAGGCCTTTCTTCTTCACAAAGTCTCCACTGTCACTCTCAAGCATTAAAAAAATCAAAACCACATAGCACTATTTTCCGCGAAAGATAGCAAAACCCGCCAAGTCTGAATCCTTCATCACATTCCTCTGCAAGAGCAATGCACCAGCGCGAAGAAAGGTGAGTCTACACACATTTTTTCAGTACATATCTCCTGAAATATATGATCATTTGTATAAACAATCAGCATTACTAATCAATCTCGTTTATAACTAGGGTTGCATAACACTATGAGCATGAAATCTACACATGCATGATATTACTACATTATGTGTATAATCTTAGGGCTTTATGTGTACCCTTCTATGCAATCTATGTATATACACATCAGCATACATAACAACTAGTGTTACATATTACTTAGACTTGTGTTTATTCTGATATAAGATTATGTACATTAATGTTTTCAGTTGCTATACCTCATCATACATAACCACTATTCTTATACTCAAAATTATGTGTATTTTAAAACAGTGTTAATTCCAGTAACAGATGAGTTTAATCTTATGAACTTTCGGGTTTCAGATCGTTGGGGTGCAGGTTCACACGAGAGCACACGGATCAGGCAACACGAGAGTACATCTCTCGTGCACCACCCTAGAGTGCACCTCTCGTGGTCACCTTTGCACGAGAGTTGTGCTCTCGGTGCACCACAACCTCTCGTGCTCTCTGTAGCACGAGAGTGGTGCTC